CCTTCCTTTTCCTTTCCCCAGCAATCTTTTGTTAGTACAAAATGTGATATGGAGTCATTTCTTCCATCTCATAGCTGCTATTTACAGGAAAAATATATTCATGATATTAAGCACTACATTTCATTTACACTCTCACAGCAGATGAAAAGGAAACCGATAAATAAACATATACATAAATCTACAGTATATAGAAAACCCAATCTGCATGTATACACATATACACAAATCTACAGTATATGAAGACCCTGACTGCTGAGGGCAATATGCTGACTCTGTAAAACCGCTTAGAGAGGGCTGTAAAAGCGCTTTGAGGTGAGTGGTATATAAGTCTAAGTGCTATTACTACAGAGAGAAACACAAACACGAGCATAGCAGAAGCAGCACCACTATATCTTGTTTATTATTTATCCGTAGTTCTGCATAGTCAGTGCTCTGTTACTTCCTCTAATAATTTAATTGCTGGGTTTAGATGACTGTTGTAATCATAGTAGAATCAATCAAAAAAGAAGTGAGACAAGAGAAAGATAGGCTAAAATCTAACCACAGAGAAATCATTTATGACCATTTAGTCAGGCTATTGACACACTATAAAATAAACTCACAGCACACAACACCCAAATTTTGTCCATCAGATGCATTTCGTGGGATAGGAATGAATGGGAAATTTCTAATGCCTCTTTATATTATGTTTGCTGCATAGATAAACTGAACTGAATGGCACTATTATATTATTCCCCTGAAGTTTCAGACTGTGAAATTCAATCTCAGGTTTTCCTAATAAACACTCTGAAACTTATTTTAGGTTTAGTGAAGGAAGAAGGAACGTAGCGTACTTTTGGAGGCCAGGGAGATACATTTCTTTTCAGTACTATCAGGAAATATTGAGGAAAGAAAAGAAAAACATCTTGTTTGTTGAAGCTGAATATGCTTGTTATGAAATCAGCACTTTTGGGGGAGGAAATAAAATGTTAAAAATAGGTTAATTGAAATTGTCCGATTGCTTCTTGGAATTTAACACATTTCCTTCCAACTAAAATGTAAAAATGTCACTTCATCTATTAGTGCAGAACTTCATGAGAATTATTACTGATCTCTGTGTTAAGGGAATCGCTAACATTACACAGATAAGGTAGCCTGTCTTCAGATGCCAAGTTCTGGGGTACCATTAAAGGGGAAAAACATTATTTTCTGTGATGGGCAACAGCAAAATGAACACCTCTCCACCCACTCCTTTTAATGTTAGTACCATTAGTGAGTGGCAAGCTTCATTTGATAATTTTTCAAGAAAGTATTTAGGAGATTCCTTTTCCATCTTTTCAGTCAAAGGCCTGCTGAAAAGGACTGCTGTTATTGACCTGAGGAAATTCCTTTGCCACTTCCAAATAAGAAAGAATACTTTTGAATATGCTCAGATGAGCCTTAATTATAAAATTCATATTGTTACTCGTTCTTCTTATTGTTTAGCAACTGATGGATAGACAGAGAGAAGTAAATTAGTTCCAGACTTTGAAGTAGATTTGGCCTTTGCATATCACAAGGCTAAGATTCCAAAAATATTTATTATCATTATTTAGGCTAATGATTAGGGGAAGGACTGGCAGAACCTGGGAGTGCAATTAAAGAGGGATCAGCATAGGATCTAACTCCTAGCAGGTGCTAAACTTAAGTTGAGAAATTTTCTGTGCCAGAGCAATAAATCAGTATAGTTAGACCTTCATGTGTGGACCTTATCTTTTGCGCATGACAAAGGATAGTATTACACATGTCTTTGTGAATCTGAAATTGTCCATATTTTATTTATTTATGAAATTTTGAAGCCATTCATCTCCCTCATAGAGGGGCTATTTCATATGACAATCCATTTATATAGCTTACTGTGTGCATTTCATTTTTTTACTGGTCTATAGTATATATGAAATTCCCCCATAATCCATTGATATATTCCTAAATAGCAATTAATAGTGTAATTAGAAATAAAGCCGGGGAGGGAGAGGGAAGGAGGGAGAGAGAGAGGGAGAGAGATGATGATGATGATGCAATAGCTATGAAAAACTTTGCTTACAAAATCTATCTGAAATTACTTAAGTGGATGAAAAGTTTCCTGAATATTTAATATGTTTATTGGTAGTTCAATCTGATCAAGTTCATGATATATTTTCATTTAGAAATCTTTTACTTGAAACAGATGATTTTAAAAAACTGAAGGTCATGTGTTATATCAACATTACAAGTTTTTTCCCTTCTGTCTCAATCCTTTCTTTATTAAAAGTTCACATTAAAGAATGTAGCACATACAATGCTGTCTAGAGTAATAGATTATTTGTTTATTGATCCGGAATTTCTTTAGGGCGAGTCAAACATTGAAAGTACTGTTTATTTATTTATTTTTATTTGTCAATTGCTTACAAGATAATAGGTATAAGTAAAAACATAGTTATGAATACATGGATACATATAAGAAAAAATATATATAAAAGAAACAATAGGACAGGGATGGTAGGAACGTTGGTGCGCTTATGCACGCCCCCTACAGACCTCTTAGGAAAGGGGTGAGGTCAATAGTAGACAGTCTAAGGTTAAAATTTTTGGGGTTTGGGGAAAAAAACAGAGTCAGGTAGAGTATTCCAGACATTGACCACTCCGTTAACTGAAGTCATATTTCCTGCAATCAAGTTTGGTGCGATTAACCTTGAGTTTGTATCTATTGTTTGCTCTAGTGTTGTTATGGTTGAAGCTGAAGTATTCACTGACAGGTAGGACATTGCAATGTATGATTTTATATACTATACTTAGGCGGCCTAGTTCTAGGTTTTCTAGGTCTAGAATTTAGGTCTAGGTATTCTGCAATTAGTAGAGGAGTGGAGAACTCTTCTTGTGAAATATTTCTGGACTTCCTCAACTGTGTTAATATCAGATATGTAATGTGGGTTCCATACTGATGAGCTGTATTCGAGTATTGGTCTAGCAAATGTTTTGTATGCTCTAGTTATTAGTGTAATATTACCAGAGAAAAAGCTATGTAAGATTAGGTTAACAGCTCCTTTTTGGCTATGTAGTTACAGTGGGCTCTAGCACTTAGGTCATTTGAGATGAGTACTCCAAGATCCTTGACAGAGTTTGGGTCATCAACAAGGTCTTGACTATTCAGCCTGTATTTTATTTTCTGATTTTATTTTATTTTTTGCCAATATGTAGGACAGAACATTTATTTGTTGAGATTTGAAGTTGCTATTTGTTTCACCATTCTGATACATAGTCAAGGTCTTTTTGAAGGGTAGCAGTATTGTCTGTGGTGTTGAATAGCTTTACATCATCAGCGAAGAGAATGCAGTTGCTCTTGATATGATCACATTTATGTAGAGTATGAAAAGAGTTGGTCCTAGAACACTGCCTTGGGGGACACCATTGTTGACAGGTACAGAATTTGATAGGACGCTGCCAATGTTGACCATTTGTTGTCTGTGATGTGCAACGAAAGAAGAATGAAAATCCTTATTCCAAGAGGGTGTTAAGGAGAAGGGAGGGAAGTCAGAACTAAGTACTGGGAATTACATCTGAACAAATTTATATATATCTCATCCAAGAAGCTTCTTCAGCTCTGGAAGGTGGAGAATGGAAAGATTTAAACTCCTTGCAGACAGCTGGCCAGTTGCATTCTTTTAGAGAGTCATTGAGGCTAGTTGGAGGTTTATCTGTGTTGTCAGGGTCACCTGAGTAATGCAAGTGGGCTGGAACCTTCTTGGAACAGTTGAAACAACTGTGTTGTAGACTGGAGATAGATGATGTTCTATCCCTCCCCTTCTGTTGAGAGAGGGCTGTTCAGTTTTGACATAGATGGCCTCTTTGACCCCTCTTTCAAACCAGCGGTCCTCTCTGTCCAGAATGTGGATTTTCCTGTCTTCAAAAGAGTGGCCTGTATCTTTTAAATGCAGATGGACTGCTAAATTTTGTCCTGATCAGTTTGTTCTCCTATGTTGTGCCATGTATTTATGAAGTGGTTGTTTTATTTCCCCAATATAGAGAACTGCATTGTACTGCATATACCACATTGCTCAGTTTGTGTCTGAGTGTTTTATCCTTGAGATGGATACGTGTCTGCCTTAGTGTATTCTTTGATTTGAAGTGTGTACACACGTATGTTGTGCTGGCTAAAGATCCTCCCTGAGCTATTCCGATATTCATGCAACGTATGGAATGACAACATTGCTTTGTTTATTGTTCTTTGTCTGTTATGGAGGAGCTCCTGCTCCGGGTCTTTTGGGGGATTTAATGAAGACCTACTTGGGATAACCACACATTCTGAGGGCTTCCTTGATGTGTTTTAATTCTCTTTCTGTCTCATCTTTGCTGGTCGGCAGGCCTTCAGCTCAGTGGTATAGGTATATTTTGATAACTCCCATTTTGTGCTCCAGTGAGTGATGAGAATCAAAATGTAAATATTGATCTATGTGTGTGAGTTTTCTGTAAACTTCAATATTTTTTGTCTTTCTTAATGTATACTGCACAGTTCAGGAAGTCTAGACTATTTTGCTTAACATCTTCCCTTGTGAATTTGATGTATCTGTCCACAGAGTTGATATGTTTGGTGAATGCTTCCAGTTCCTGTGTTTTGATCTTGACCCAATAATCATGTGGGTATGTGTGTATGTTGTGTAAATTTCAAACCTAGAAATCAGTTGCCCCTTTCCCTCCCATTTCTTAAACAGAAAATAGTTACCTGGCAGCTGATGAATTAAATGTAAGAGCATGCAGCTAGATTATCTGGTGCCTTTTTGTCCACTTTTCAACGAACTTATTTCTATTATATCGTAAAGCAGAGACACCATAAAGCCTTCAGTACTTTGACATTCACTTAAAAATTGACTGTACACAGGAAAACACAATTTTGTTATGTACTTGCCTATATGTGAGAAGACAAAATAACTTGAATTTGAAATGAATTTTTAATGTGAGTTTTTCATTTTCGCATATAATGTATAATCTTTGTTTTTCAATAACAGCAAAGAGCTCCAGGAAAGATTTTATTGGATGCAGTCTGCAACCATCTGAATCTTGTTGAAGGTGATTATTTTGGCCTTGAGTTTCTGGATCATAAGAAGGTCATGGTAAGTAAAGATATTTTGCCTAAATCATCCCTCCCATGATATCATTTTATAATATTTTCATGCTCTTAAAAGTTTGCCCCTTCCTACCTTCCTTAAAATATTTTCTAGTTTTCTCACTTGAAAGCAGAGTAGATAAGCAAGAGCATATGATAAATATTCTTGTTTCCCAGCTCACAATCAATGAATCACAAATGTGCAATATGCTTGTTCATAAATAATATGCACATAAGTAGAGCAACTGTTTTAGATAGACTACAGAACTTACACTTGTTTTACTAAAATGTGTGCACATATCTATTGGATAGGTTTTTTATTATTTCAAGAACAAAACTCCAGTCTTCATGGAAAGATAATTAATTGTGGACTGAGTGATAGCTGTCCAGTTCATTATGTTTAACATTATGAAAATAACATCTGTTCATCCTTTTCTTCCTCTCTTCTGCTGGAAACAAATCTGTTGTACCTTGGCAACTGTTGTGTAAAGCTTTTCTAAGAGAGGTTCACATGCTACCACAGAGGAGTATAGTATGTGCTGTTTTCTTTCTGAGTTTACCATTTCTGCACCATTTCTTAACCTTGTAAAGCCTTCTACTCCTGTGCTGGGTACCCATGCCATTGTAACTGGTTTGTATTTTAGTTATTCTTTTCAGAAATTTGGCAGTGCGCACATTTTTCAGGGTGCCAAGTGTGAAGTTCAAAAACACAACATTATTAGAATGCCAAGAAACACCAAGATCTGTGTTTTTTTTAAATCTAAAAACTGGTTTTCCTCATATGAACATAAATGACTAAGGCATAAAAGTTTTTATTGGCTAACAAAAACAATTTTAAATTAATAGCCTTTTCCCTCACAATAATCAAAACACATTAATAGGCCAGAACTTAAACACATTTTTTTTGGTGGGTCCAGTGGCTATTTTTCTGAAATGAGGATTTGCTTTTAACTTGGTATAACAAAGAGCTATTCAAGTTTAACCTGAACAAATGTACAATTCTTTCAAGCCCTCTTGTTCAGGACAAAAGAGAGTTTTCTTTTTCTGAGAAAAAAGTTTGCCTTTTTACTATCTAGGAGTGAAACATATTTAACTCCATGGGAATCTGTGTGTATGTTGCTTCCACAAATACATTAATATGAGTGCAATATACAGTGATGTTTAAAAGTTTGTGAACTTTTTGAATTTTCAGTATTTCTCTATAAATATCATGTAAAAGTGATCTGTTCTTCACACAACTATTAAAAATAAACAAATGAGTCAAAAACATTATATTTGTTCACATTATATTTGTTCATATATATATGGTATTCAGCTTTGTTCGGGTATTTTCCCACATCATTATAGTTGTGCTTTTAAAGTTGTAGCAACGTTTCGGCAGAATCTCATCTGCCATCATCAGGCTTCTGTATTGTGTTCGTCTGTGAGTCAGACTATATATATATTTATATTTATATGGATCTTTGGTTGTTCGGGTTTTCTCCTGCGTAAGATTCGAAGTATCTAGGCAACGTTTCGATGAAGTCTCATTCATCATCTTCAGGCTTCTGTCTCCGGCTCTGTGCTTCTCAGAGTAATGTATATTTATATTTATATATACAAGCATACACTGCTCAAAAAAATAAAGGGAACACTTAAACAACGCAATGTAACTGCAAGTCAGTCGCACTTCTGTGAAATCAAACTGTCCACTTAGGTAGTAACACTGATTGACAGTCAATTTCACATGCTGTTGTACAAATGGACTAGACAACAGGTGGAAAGCATAGGCAGTTAGCAAGACATCCCCATAAAGGAGTGGTTCTGCAGGTGGTGACCACAGACCACTTCTCAGTTCCTATGCTTTCTGGCTGATGGTTTGGTCACTTTTGAATGCTGGAAGTGCTTTCACTCTAGTAGTAGCATGAGATGAAGTCTACAACCTACACAAGTGGCTCAGGTAGTGCAGCTCATCAAGGATGGTACATCAATGTGAGCTGTGGAAAGAAGGTTTGCTGTGTCTGTCAGCGTAGTGTTCAGAGCATGGAGGCACTACCAGGAGACAGGCCAGTACATCAGGAGACGTGGAGGCCATAGGAGGGCAATAACCCAGCATCAGGACCGCTACCTCCACCTTTGTACAAGGAGGGACAGGAGGAGCACTGCCAGATCCCTGCAAAATGACCTCCAGCGGGCCACAAATGTGCATGTGGCTGCTCAAACGGTCAGAAACAGACTCCATGAGGGTGGTATGAGGGCCCAATGTCCACAGGTGGAGGTTGTACTTACAACCCAACACCGTGCAGGACATTTGGCATTTGCCAGAGAACACCAAGATTGGCAAATTCGCCACTGGTGCCCTGTGCTCTTCACAGACGAAAGCAGGTTCACACTGAGCACATGTGACAGACGTGACAGGGTCTGGAGACGCCGTGGAGAATGTTCTTCTGCCTGCAACATCCTCCAGCATGACCAGTTTGGCAGTGGGTCAGTAATGGTGTGGGGTGGCATTTCTTTAGGGGGCCGTACAGCCCTCCATGTGCTCGCCAGAGGAAGCCTGACTGCCATTAGGTACAGAGGTGAGATCCTCAGACCCCTTGTGAAACCATATGCTGGTGCGGTTGGCCCTGGGCACCTCCTAATGCAAGACAGTGCTAGACCTCATGTAGCTAGAGTGTGTCAGCAGTTCCTGCAAGACAAAGGCATTGATGCTATGGACTGGCCCGCCCATTCCCCAGACCTGAATCCAATTGAGCACATCTGGGACATCATGTCTTGCTCCATCCACCAACGCCACGTTGCACCACAGACTGTCCAGGAGTTGGGGGATGCTTTAGTCCATGTGTGGGAGGAGATCCCCCAGAAGACCATCCGCCACCTAATCAGGAGCATGCCCAGGTGTTGTAGGGAGGTCATACAGGCACGTGGGGGCCACATGCACTACTGAGCCTCATTTTGACTTGTTTTAAGGACATAACAAAGTTGGATCAGCCTGTAGTGTTCTTTTCCACTTTAATTTTGAGTGTAACTCCAAATCCAGACCTCCATGGGTGGCTAAATCTGATTCCCATTGATAATTTTTGTGTGATTTTGTTGTCAGCACATTCAACTATGTAATGAACAAAGTATTTAATAAGAATATTTCATTCATTCAGATCTAGGATGTCTTATTTTTGTGTTCCCTTTATTTTTTTGAGCAATATATCTATATCTATCTATCTATCTATCTATCTATCTATCTATCTATCTATCTATCTGGTATTCAGCTTTGTTCGGGTATTTTCCCACGTCATTATAGTTGTGCTTTTAAAGTTGTAGCAACATTTCGGCAGAATCTCATCTGCCATCATCAGGCTTCTGTATTGTGTTCATCTGTTCACCAGACGAACACAGTACAGAAGCCTGATGATGGCAGATGAGATTCTGCTGAAACGTTGCTACAACTTTAAAAGCACAACTATAATGTCATGGGAAAATACCCGAACAAAGCTCAATACTATATAGATATAGATATATAGATATAGATAGATATATGTTGGTGTGTGGCAAAAATATGTCAACCTCTTGGAATATCAACTTATTTGAAGGAAAATTAGTCAGTTATTTTTAATCAAAGTGATGATAATCAGGTGTGAGTATGTGAGGTCTTCATGAGCCCAGGTAATGTCTAAAAAGTAGTGGTGCACTTGCATTGGGAAATGTTGGTATTCATGTGACTGTCAGCAGGGCAATACTGAATAACGGAGGTGAGCATAGCAAGACTGCAAGGAGAAAGCTACTACTCTATAAAAAGAACATTGCTGCCTATCTCCAGTTTATGAAAAAAACCCACATGGATTAACAAGAAGGCTATTGGAAGAATGTTCTGTGGATAGATGAGACAAAAATAGAAATGTTTGGCTTAAATAAAAAATGTTATGTTTGGTGAAAGGCAAATACTGCATTCCAGCAGGAGAACTTTTGCTCATTTGTGAAACATGATGGTGGCAGTATCATGGTTTCTTTGCGGCCTCTAAACCAAGATGGAACTTTGAATTCTGAATTGTGCCAATCAATTCTACAGGATGTTCGTAACTGAAGCTCAAGAAAAAGTTGATCATTTAACAAGACAATGACCGAAAACACACAAGTTTTATAAAAGAAGCAGAAGAAAGTTAATGTTTTAGAATGTCAAATCAAAATCCTGATCTTAATAATCCTAGAAATATATTGTTGAAGGATCTGAGGCCAGTAATTCATGCAAGGAAACCCACCAATATTCCAGAGTTAAAGCTAGACTAAAATTCCTCCAAATCAATGAAGGACTAATCAAGTATTTTCAGAAACTTCAACTAAAAGTTTCTGAAAATACTTGATTAGTCCTTCAGTTATTGCTGACTGAGTGGGGCACAGTTACTAAAAGCAAAGTTTCTCATTATTCTATCTCAAACCAATATGCAGCTTTGGATCATTTTCCTCAATAAGTAAACAAATATAATGTTTTTGACTCATTTGTTTAATCATTTATTTAATTTTAATACTTGTGTGGAGAAAAGATCGTGCTATAATTATTTTGGTGTGAGTTTTGGAAAATATCACTATTGTTGACATGTTTTTTCCTCTGAAAATTCAGTTTAATACAGTTTATATCCTACTATGTATATGATTGCTCCTGGAGTTGTAATCCAGATTTGTGTCTCCTGTCCTGGTTGCACTCTGTCCAATGAAATTAGCTGTCTTCACCTTCATCTTAAAATAGGGCTATGAAATCTACCCAGAAAAAATTAGGATGATTGCCAGATGCAGTATCGATTGATCATCCAAATTTATACAGATCTGGTAAAATGATGCAATCCTGGAATGATTGGGTTAGAAATTAAACTGTGGAGCTGTTCTTTCTTGTTTTAGCTGCATCAGTGATTATATCTTTTCTTTTTCCCCAGATTTGGCTGGATCTTTTGAAACCTGTCATAAAACAAATCAAAAGTATGTGTTGACAGTTTTATTTTGGTGCAAATTTAGACCCAGTTTCAGATGATACTTAACCTTTCCTGATTTTACTTCAATTAAATGTATAGACAAAATAATGTATCTAATTGAATTTTATATGCAGAGGCCTTATTTGAACATTACCCTGATTATAAACGTTGGAGAATATTGGAGCTATAATAAATCTGCCAAATAAAGAAGAGTAGATGCAACTATCCTCTTAGCAGATGGTTAGGATAGAGAGTGTCACTAAAGACCAGCATTTATTTGTTTTAGGACAGAAAAAAATGTTATTTTTGAATACTATGTATTTATTGCCCTTCACCTTCTGTCTTTCTGCCTGCTATTACAGCATATAAACTTAGGTGTGAGGTTTACCCCGAGTAATATCTTCACTAAGCAATCCTGACTAACTCCGTAAATAAACAAGTTTGTTAATTGTTACATTTTCCTTTTAATCACTTAAATGTTTAGTTCAAGAACTAAGTAAGAAACTTCATTTTTTGAGCAGAGAATTTTTTTTCTCTATGTAGATTATAGGAGAAAAAAAGTCTCAAAAATCAGAGACTAGTATTTGCAAGATTATTTCATATAAATTGGTTTGCCCTTCAAAAAAATTATTTTTTTCAAGAAAGATTCTGTTAAGAGTGACTACATTTCTTTTGCTCTGATACGTAGTTTGATTTAGTCAATATTATATTTGATTTTGTATTCCTTAACTTTTTATTAATAGTACATAGTTTACATTGTTCAGTCACTTCTTAAGTCATACTATGAATGAAATATTTGCATGCGATATAAATAAACAATAAATTGATGACTTTTGTCATTGTTGTCCCGTATTTTGTCTCTTAGGACCTAAGCATGTCATTCTAAAATTCGTGGTAAAATTCTTCCCACCTGATCACGCTCAGCTGCAAGAAGAATTAACAAGGTTGGTGTAAGCATCCATTTTAAATTCCTCTTCATCAAGACAACAAGAATTGGAAATATTCATACCAAATTTTAAAATAAACCATATTAAGGTGAGGTCAGGAGTTTATTTGAAAGGATTCCAGGCTTTCGAATGTCTGATCTAAAATTTGGTTTAACTTGTTCTATTGTTCTGTTCAGATTTAAGTGAGAATGGAGCTGATTTATATTTCCATATCCCAATATCTTCACACTTTAAAATGAATAGTCGGCACTTGCTAATATTATAATTCCATCTCTTAATCCATAATTATTTATTTTATATTGCTGTTACCCAGCATGCTAGATTTGTCATTGGCATCTGCGACTGCTCTTACATATATACATTTATTGAGGATTTTATCCCCACTGATTTTTTTCCCTTCTCTTCCCTTATACCTAATTTCCCACATTTTAAGTAAACTTCTGCTGAATAATGTCTGTCCCTTCTCTCACTCACTGCATAGAAAAACCAGCAGAGCTTGAGAAATGGCAGGCTGATTTCCTATTCCTCTCAAAGCAACTGAGTGATTGTATTGAGACATTTATTTGTTTGTCAAACATGTACAAGATAACAAGTGTAGGTATGAACATAAACATGAACAAAGGAAGTAAATACAGGTAAATGAGGACAGTAAGACAGGGTCGGTAAGTACGCTGGTGCACTTATGCATGTCCCCTTTAAGGACCTCTTAAGAATGGGGTGAAGTCCATGGTAGACAATTTGAGGTTGAAGCTGTGAGGGGTTGAGGCTGTAACAACGGGGTTGGGTAGAGCATTCCAGGCATTGACCATTCTCTTCCTGAAGTAATATTTTCTGCAATCAAGTTTGAAGTGGTTTACTTTGAGTTTATATTGATTGTTTGCGGTTGAAGCTGAAGAAGTCGTTGACAGGCAAGACATTGTAGCAGATAATTTTGTGTACTATGCTTAGTTTGGATTGTAGGCAGTGCAGTTCCAGATTCTCCAGGCCCAAATTTTGAGCTGGGGGCATAGGGAATTCTTTTGTGAGTAGAGGAGTGGAGTACTCTTCTTGAGAAATACCTCTGAACCCGCTCAATCTTGTTAATGTCTGATATACAGTGTGGGTTCCAGGCAGATGAGCTGTATTCAAGAATTGGTCTCACAAAGGTTTTGTATGCCCTAGTTAGCAATTCAATGTTACCGGAGAAGAAGCTTCACAAAACTCTTAATGCCTTTTCGGCAATGCTGTTACAGTGAGCTTTGGGGCTTAGATCATTTGAGATGAGTACTCCTCGGTCCTTGACAGAGTGAGGGCCATCTATGAGATGGTTTCTGTCCAACTTTTATTTCATGTTCTGATTTTTATTGCCAATGTGTAGAACAGAGCATTTATTAGTTGAAATTTGAAGTTGCCAATATTCCTTGCTGAATCTCTGGATTTTGTGACATCTTTTAAAGAAATTACAAAGTCAAATGGTGTTCTCTAATAATAATGAAAAGGCAGGGTTTTTTTCATGATAAAGAAGGTCATCTTGTACTTCATCATTGACTGAAGTATTTGGTGGTATTTTTCCCTCTTCTAATAGGGCTGAATTGATGGTCACAATAGTGAAAATAATAATCTATGGTGCTCATAATTTGTAAAAACATTTTGTGATATTTGTTGTGCAACAATGTTTTGATTGTAGTTACAGTTCTTGTAAGGATAAATTAGTGACATTTGAACAATATACACATTTGGAAATACAAATAACATAAAAATAACTATTTAGAAATGGAAACATTGAAAAAGTTTACACAAAATATTCTAATAATGTCAGCGGTGAGACTTCCATAAAGTAGGTATTCCGGTGCTAGAACAAAAAATGTATAGGCACACCTTATATGTAAATAATGTATCAGGTTCTCAGAGAAAGACCCCACTTGATAACCTTAATGTATGGGCAGATTGTTCATCTCAAGTAAACTTTCTAGTAAGGGATATGTAAACATTTTGACTTTACGAACACTCCATAAAAGTGTCAGTAATATTTTCTATTTTATGTGCCCTTGCAGGTACTTATTTGCATTGCAAGTTAAACAGGATTTAGCACAAGGAAGACTGACCTGTAATGACACTAGTGCTGCTCTCTTAATATCACACATTGTACAGTGTAAGTAAAGTTCTTTCATTTTTTAACTTCTTCATTTTGAACAGTATAATGTTAGATAGTATTTTTCTATAGATTACAAAGCTGAAAATAAAGCTGTTCCCAGAAGTTTATTTTTTACTTTCTTGTATTCTTGTATCTCAAATATTATGCAATATTTCTAATGAACTGTTTCCTTGTTTACAATCAGGGTTACATTTGTCGACAGTCTAAAGTCACTGACTTTATCCCCATATCACTAAGGGCTAAAGCTCTAAAAGTGGGAATACTTTAAAAAATAGAATGTGAAATAACAATGGCGGGATGTATTACTCCCTTAGCCAAATCCCAGTTTTTTCTTATGGGAGCTCACTTATATTTTGGGAAAAAAAATGTTGTTTCATTCCTTTCTCTGGCCAGAAAGATTAGCTGCTTTGCATTTAGATGTGCAAGTGTAAGCGCAAACAGTAGCTATTGAAAATAATCAAATAAAAAACATTTCTGTGTTCTGGCAAAAATTTCAGTTGTACTAGAAAATAGAGTTTTAGATTAATTCCAGTATCTGAATGTAGATCAGATGGCTGCTACAAATAGAGTCAGCACAGCTGTTGTATATATATATGTAATTTTATTGAAGCCCATGTCAATAGATGACATCAAAGGAAATGCTGAAGAAAAAAATTTGTGATTCCATTTTTCAAGTCTTCTATCTCCATATCCCAGTCCATGAACAGCTTTGAATTGACACATGGAGATTCATCCTCCTTTTCTGAGAATAGCAATTTTGAAAGTTTGGAGATCAATTATATTAGGATTAATGAAAAAAGTGAAAAATAAGCTACATGAGGTGCTGGGAATCAAAGTGCCCCTACAAAAGAACCAGTGATTCTTCAGTTTCACTTTTTTCATTGAAAATATGAAGAACAAAGAACAATGTTGGTCTACTCATCTAAGAGACCTGAAATTTCAAGACATTATAAAAAGTAATCATGCTTTTTAGAATGACATTAGCAACTGAATTGGCTTTCAAAAATGGTTCTTGTTGGCAAGAAGATTTTATCTATTATACCTGTCTGCTTTCACATTTAGTTAAGTATGCAAATTAAAATGATATTTCTCAAGTACATAACACGGTACTATTCTTTAAAAATCCTATATACTTTTGATAATTTTGTCAATGAATGAAGATGATTTAAATATCTGACAGCACATGATTTCCATAAACTTCTGATCTAATGATATTCTTTTTTATGTAGAAAACATTGTCTATTTAAATTTCTCTATTGTGTGTAAGCATACCAATCCATAATGGTGTGAGTTTCCCAAAAGATTTCTCTTTATAGTACTTGTTAGCCTACATTGGATCAAGCCAAACATCTAAGATATAACAGGTTAACCACAGATAGCTAGTATTTGTATTAAGAGTTTCAAATGAAAGTCTTAAGATGTGCCTTAAGGATATCTGATGATATCTACTGAAACTCTAAATGTTGTAAAGAATTAGAAGGACTTGGGGCTGGTGGTTATGATGTATGTGTGTGTCAGTATCCATTTGAAACAAGTACTAATAGGTGTAGATTTTTTTTATCCCCTAATTTCACTATAGCTGCAATTGCCCAGTATTTTAGCTTCAAATGAAAAATACATTGTGCTATCTTGAGAATGAAAATTGAAAACTCTGGAGGGACTTCCTATTGAACTAACTACAATATAGTGCTAATGTTTATAGAATCGGATGGTTTATACTTTCCAGTTGAAGTCTCCTCTCCAAATCTAGATTTTTATCCATTGAGTATTTTTTTCCCTTTAGCTGAAATTGGGGATTTTGATGACACCAATGATCATGAACATTTAGCAAAAAACAAATATATACCTCAACAAGAAGCTTTAGAAGACAAAATAATGGAATTTCATCATAATCATATGTAAGTACTTAAGCATTACTATTAAATAATGTTGGAATGCCAATAACAGGCTTGATACAGTAGGAAATATATCTAGTTTTTATTTTAATTAAAATGTATCTCTGAAAAAGATGAACGGGTGGTGGAGAGAAGTGGATATGGTAATAGATTGAATAGGGAGATTAATACAAAATATTTGCATTATCGATGAAGAACCTTTTTTTTAAGTAAGCGATTAGTATCTTCCAAATTTGGAAGAAGCATTAGATTACTTTGCAGAGGAATGGGAAGAAAAGGTGATTATACTTCTGATTTATTACTCTTGTATATGAAACTCTCAGCTCTGTTAAATAATATATTCTACTGGATATTGTGCTAGGCAATATGACTTATAAAGTCAAGACTTATAAAGTCCCTCCAGAGTTTTCAATTCTATCTTACAATGAATAACAGAGCATGTTGAGGAGGAAACAGTATTTTTGGGGAAAGGCAGGTTCTTCAAAACTACTTTCTACCTTGTGAAATGCATTATAACTCCTTCAGTGGTCAGACACCAGCAGAATCCGATTTCCAGTTGCTTGAAATTGCCCGTCGTTTGGAAATGTATGGAATCCGGTTGCATCCAGCTAAGGATAGAGAAGGAACCAAGATCAACCTAGGAGTGGCTCATACAGGCATTCTGGTGTTTCAGGTGTGTAAGTGATTCTAATAGTAGTTAATCCAAATTGAAATAGCAAAGGTTGGGATTGTTGTGACTATTCCTTCAGATCACAAATCACTGATAAAATTTATGGTAGAAGGAATATAAGTCTTTGTTAATTGGGGGTGGTTAAACAAAATCCATCTACAGTACAAGGGGACTTTTGTTTGTTTTTTGTTTGATCTGCAGCAGTAATGCAAACTGACTAGCAAATACCTTATTTTCCTTCATTATGTATCACAATTAGGGTTACACGAAGATAAATGCATTCAACTGGTCTAAAGTTCGGAAACTCAGTTTTAAGAGGAAGCGTTTTCTTATTAAACTACGCCCAGATGTAAATGTAAGTTTCTGGAAGGGCAGACCCTCTTGGAATGTTAGTATTTTAAGATATTTTTCATTACTTCCTTAAATCAAGTCCTCATTTGTTCCTGGCATATTTCTGTGCTCCATGTTTCTCTCCAGACCACAAAAGTACCACACAAGAGAAACTTAAAAAGGCACCATTTTCCATATCAACTTTCTGCCTTCCAACTCCTACTTCACCCTGGCAGCACTTATTATGCCCATGTTCAGTTCATTCTCGAGCACAAGACAGAAATAACGATCTGATATTGTATATTTTTTTCTCATAAAGGATAATAGAATACCCATTTCACAGGTGGAAGAAACCTAGCACATGCAAACTCACAACAAAGCAAACTGCAGAAATACATTAGCTACATGACAATACAAAAGTAATTCAGGCACCCAACAGGAATATTCCTTGTCTTTCTCCCAAGAAGCATGCATGGCTTTAAAATGAAAGAAAAGAACATGAACAAAATAAAGCCAGGCACCAGTCTTTAAAAAGATTGCCATAAATGAAATACACAATACACTTACATAAACACAAGGCCAAGCATATCGATCCAAAATAACCCTTGATTGCTGCTGGGATTTTGGGAGAACCTAACAAAAGAGGTTGAGGAAGAACAAATTTAGAATTGACCCCAAAAAATGTAGGAGTAATGTTAACACACCTCTGCAAAACTGCATCAGGGAAAGATGACTTTAGCCAATAATTAAACTTACGAGGCATTGCTTTAAAGAAATGGAAATGGTCACATTAATATTGTTGGGCTTTGCACAAACTTCACAGGTCCATTCAAACTTCAAAGGTCCATTCTGCTTTTAACCCAAAAGAATAACAGGAATAATTATTTCACTTGGATTTGTCTGGATGCTATCTACACTTAGGAGGAAAACAAGCATAGATTCAAAGAATCAGTCTCGTAATATATAATGATAAAGGTTTTCATCTTCATTGCAGACAGAATATGTTTTATCTTTAAGTAAACCAGATAGCCAGAGGGAAAATGCTTACTTCCAAACAAATGAACAAAAATTATCTCTTTTTGCTGTGTACAGTCTCTTTTTATTCCTTTTCTTTTTCCAATACTAAACCTAGTTTTATTATTTTTTAGAGTAACTTCCAAGACACACTGGAATTTCTAATGGCTAATCGGGATTTGTGCAAGGCGTTTTGGAAAATTTGTGTAGAACACCACGCTTTCTTCAGGCTGTTTGAGGAACCCAAACCCAAACCTAAACCTGTTCTTTTTACCAGAGGTTCATCTTTTAGGTTCAGGTAGGATTTTGTTTTTTATTATCATAATCATGAAAAAGTGTGTTCATTCCTTTTTAGAGGGAATGGATTAGTTCAAATATAATGCTCTTTCCCAACAGCCTGCTATGTTACATTTTAAGGTCCAAACTAACTTTTCCCCAATTTGACTTAAATCTACTTGGAGAGCTACAGGTTACCAGATTCACAAAGTATTTCAGAGTTTTTCCAGAGTCAAAATGAAAACACATCCAGATAATGGCAGTTGGGACTGAAATTTCCATCACTAAGTAACACACTTATAAAACACAATGTCCCATGACTGTCCCACTAAGCAATGACAATTCCAGAGCTTCCACTTGCCATCATAAAGGAAATCTCACACTGTTATTAAATGAGGATGTCACATTGTCACCATTTGCTTCCCTGTGGACTTTGCTTGTAGGGAGTCAGCAAAGAACATAACAACTGACAGTCATGTGACCCCAGGAAGTTCTGATGGCCAGAACTTCAAGGACCATTGTAAGCATCACTTGTTTAGTGACGTTGTAAATTTGAATGGCTGCTGAACAAGTGCTTGTTAAATAGGTGTATTGTATGTACTCAAGGATAAACAGAATTTTAGGTGCCAAAATGGACTCCCAAATTGGATTCAGTTTATCCATGACTATATATAACAATTCCTTTCATAATTGGCTGTATGTTCCACATATGTACATGTGCATGTAAGCCTATCCATGACTAAGCAGAGCCTCAAACTACTATAGAAAAATGTGGTCAGCTTATCCATTGGTGATTTCATTTTTCACAGTATTTTGGTAAAAACAAAAATTGAGGGTTAGTTTGCCCACAAATGGATTTATACATTAGAATAGTAGTACATCATGATGTTATCCCAGAAATATTGCAATTATGTGCCTACATAATGAAGTTTGATGTAAGAATGCAAGTTGTAATGTTTGTACTAATGTCATGATTCACATTCCATCTTTGTCCCACCTGGATAGAAGTAGATGTGCAGGGGCTCATGTCTGGCTCATTAAATCCATGGTGATAATAGATTTTTCTTGTGGTAATTTGCAGAATCATAAATGTAAAGAACAAAATCACTGTATAACTATTGGAATTTATAACATATAGTACCGTTGTCAATCTCAATATGGTTTTTTATTTTTGCAATATTGGGTTTTTGTTTGCTCTTTCTCCTTAGAAAGTTTATGAGCTCCCTGAGGATGTAGCCAAAGGATTGCATTTAACATTGAGGCAGTCAGTTGTTGCCAGTGTGTACAAATAGTGTAATTAATATTTGAGCCTCTTAAAGAGCGTAAAACCAGTAGACTTTCTAATATTATTTTTAGAGTAGTTGACTCAACAGCACAGAGGCTCTTTTCAGAGCCATAATTGGGATGACCGCAATGAATACTGCCCTTTTCCCAATATCAACTGCTGCCCATAGGAAAACAAAATGCAATAGGAACATATAGAAATGAAAAACACAAAAATAATGTATTAGTTATTAATTTTCTAGTTTTTTTATCATTGTTTCTTTCTTTCTCTCCCTCCTTCTCTACTTCTGTTTCCCTCCTTCCTTCCCTTTAGTGGCCGTACTCAGAAGCAAGTCCTTGACTATGTTAAAGAAGGAGGACATAAAAAAGTGCAATTTGAGAGGTTTGAGATACTTTTTGACGATGATGATGATGATGATATATCTTTTGCTATTAAGATCTTTCTCTTGTATCAGGAATTCTGATTTTCTTAGATAGCCATATGATAATTACAGGCAGTTGGGATTGAAGTTGGTTGCATATTTGCTGAAAGAAAAGCGACCAGGAATGCAGGAAAACAGCATTGCGTATTTTTCCCATCCAGAAGCCCTTAGATACTTGCTCTTCTAGCAGAAATAGTGGTATTTTGACTCAGAACATTTGTTCAGTAACTAATTGTATTGCTCTTTGTCCCCTTTCTTTGAGTAAATAGTTCCAACTTGCCAGCTCCTGCATGTTATCTTTCTATTAGAATCGCCCCTTCTAAAACTTTTAGCCAGCATAATGCTGGGAGACCTCTGACTTGGCTGGCAGAGAATTATGCTAAGAACAGAAAAGGTTTTCTGTCCAAAGAAGGTAGCTATGATGACAGATGTGGTTGTTCCAAAACAAATATTTGGATTGTAGTGTTAATAATGTTTAACATTTTTCTGCTTTAAAAAAATGTTAATTTTGCTAGTGGCGGTGAAATGTTAGGTAGTAGTAGAGTGGTTTTTGGGATGTCATTTTCAAATCTGTTTCCAAAGCCCTCTAACATGTTGAGTTAAATCTTGATTTTAGCAACAGGTTTACATTCTGAGTCAGCTTTTGGACTCCGAAGTTCTCCTTTTCTTAAGTTTTTGTAATATATTCAGTGAAATATGTATCTGTCACCATAATGACCTACCCCACATATACACCCCAAAAGAACATGTTTATTTGGGGCTTTTGTTTTCCATAATTACTATAAGAGTTAAAGAAATTGAGGAATTGAGTGCAAATGTGTTTAATTTTTAGTTAACTTGGTTGATTAATTTCATAGTGCAGCTTTCTTCCAAAAGCTCAAGGCAACACCCATGACAGTCCCTGCTTCAGTGGTTCTTCTTCTCTCCACAGAAAACACAGCAGGATCCATTCTGTTAGGAGTCTGACTCCAAAATCTACAGAGCAACTTTCTGTGGTGCCAAAACAAGTCAGTTATCTTTTATGCTTTTGCTAACTAAAAATCCAAAAGCGGTTTTGTTCTTTGTTGTATACTGTTGTTTAAGGAGGGTAAACAAATTGCTTGAAGGAACAGTATACTTACCTCTGGTTTGCAATGCTGCTGAATAAATGGAAAATGCAAGCAGACAGAAAGGATTTAATTTCATCAAGCTTTATCAATAAAAATATTGAAACTCTGTAATTCACACAAAACTTTTGGGAGGTCTAACGAGTGTGAGGCATTGTTTGTAAGGACAAAGAACAAGAGGAGATGTAGACACATTCCCAAAGGAAGTTGACCAAAATCAATCTTGGAGAAATGTGTAAACAAAGGAGGTCTAAATAAATACAGTTGAAACATTGTATACAAAATAATGTAAATGATTGGAAATGGATGTTGGGGAAAGAACAGATCAAAGAGATAATAAAAGCATCAAGAATAAGCAATGATGACAAGTTAAACAAAGGCGACAGTATTCAATCTGTTCACTTATAAGAGGATGTGTCATTGCTCAGAGGCTAAGCAACAATAATGAGATACTGTAAGTGAAACACACATTTATTTTTTACTCTTCTGTCTTCAGCTTGTCTTAAGTCACTGCGACCAAGGCAAAAAATAGGAGTGTGAGCTCAAGAGTCACTCACATTTTAAAATAGAACAAATGATCCCTGAATCTTGTCCTTTTTATGTCCTTCCTTTCCCTTTCCTTCTCCTACTCCCATTTCATTCCTTTCTATGCCATGCAATTTTATGGAAGCTGTTGTTATTATTATTATTATTATTATTATTATTATTATTTTGTTATGGTATTACCTTTAGTAGCTTCATGGAAGGGTTTAATTTGAACTAGGATGGATTGAGTCATTTGCTGCACTTGAATTTTCTCTCAATGTTCAATCTTCTCCTTTGTTTTTTGGTTTGGTCCTTGCTTGATCTAAAGTTTACTCCTAAAGCCTACAAACCAGACAGGTGTGAGATTGCATTCACCCATTCATACTACAGTGAGACCTGTTGCTTCTGCTCTGAATTAATATAAAGCCATCATTGCTAATTGCTTTTTATATCCTTATCTGCTATAATTTCATGCTTGTTTTTTTAAGAGCAAATTTTGCTATAGCTTCATATTGTAGTAGTAGTAAATTACATGATTGAGGTGTATTTAATCTACATATTCTGATATAATTTCATAGGAGTTAAAGCTGTTTTGTTTTAGGAAAAGGACTAAGCTATTGTAATATTAAAGGTGGTTTTAATGGAGGGCAGCTGAAAATAAAGAGTTTCTTATACTGAATAGAGCCCTATTTATATTGAATTCGTAAAACAGTTGCTATAAAGATTGATGATAATTTATTCCCTTCTGTATCACATTTCTTCCTTTCTCTTTCCAGAGTTGTAGTTTTACATATGGAGATGGTGCTGATTCCCTGGTTGTGCAAAGCTGCCAACAGGGAAAGGAATTAAATATTTCAGTGGAAGATGGTGGACCACACGCAACTCCTTCCCTGAAAAAAAGCCCTAAGGAAGGCCAGGGGATAGATGGTACTACAATGGCAACAATGGAGGAGGAAGAGGAGGTCGTAAAGGACAGATCACAACTCAGCAGATCTCAGACGCAGCAGCCAAGCACAGGTCCTGCATCTCGAGCTACTCATGGCAGTAGCACATCAATACCTTTTATTGACTGCAGTGATGTAGATAGCGAGTATGATCTCCTCAGAGGGCAAATGAGTCAGTCACATTCCCAAACAAATGACAATTATGAGGGTGATTTGACCAGTGGAGTCCATGTTGATTGTAGAGGTGACAATCATAATAAAAATAGGTACAAGGAATCTTCTACCTCCCCTATAAAGGCATTCTACAAGGTTGTGGAAGACCGCATTGATAACAGCTCTGGTAATATGTCCTTCTCACTTGGTGAGAATCTCAGATTCCCACTTCATAGTACACTGGTTGAAGAAATGTTTAATGGCCCAGATATCCGTAGTCCACTGGCTACTCCCTTGCATTCAAGCAGCAAAAGATCAAGTCCCCTCAAGAGTATTGGTAGTCCAGGTACTCAAATCTCTGAAGAATGTAGGGCAAAGAGGAAAAATAATGATGGACATACTTTTAGCTACCATAATTATACCAGGTTTTCCCCAGTTTTGCAGAGGCCACAGTTGCAAAGGTTTCAGAATGCTTATAACAAATCTGAAACGGATCCATTTATTTTGAGCCAAGGATCTCCAACTCCAAGTCAAGAATATACAGCAGAGAGGTTTTGTAAAAGGCAGATGGTTAAAATGGTCCCTTTAGAAGGCAAAAATATGGCAAATGGTATGCCAGCAAATGCGCCATCAAAGCGAAGTCCCATCATGCAATCCTTGTATACTAGGGGCATGATGGATCGTATGCCTAGCGTACAAATGACGGAAGGATCTACGAGCAGTGGAACAGAGTCTAGTGACTCTGATTCAGAAATGGTTAATTCTTTCACACGGCCTCTTGTGTTTAGCAATCCCATAGTCCTAAATTCATCTCCAGGGTCCAGGAATAAGTATCCCTCTAGCAGCCTTCAGTTAAGTGGAGAATCTGAAGATGTCGAAGAGGGTGCTCATGTCTTCAGTTGTTGAGATTCTTGGACAGTCTTTCTTAGAAGAAGCTAAAGAATATCCAGTCAAGTCACTATTGGAGTAGCTCTCCACAGCTTGGCATTTACAAGTATATTCTGTCTCAATTAGAGACTAACTACGAGTATGAACTTTGACTGGGAATTGTCCAAGTTATATAGAGGATATCATGTTGTTATTTGATTATCAAAGAAAAAAAACATATTGGCGTTTAAAATATAGAATGATCTTAATGAAATGATAGATGACGAACTTGATATGGTAGTTTAAAGTGGTTTACAATAAAATATAATGGTGGCATATTCTTTATTTGTTTTTGAAAGATAATCTCGGCAGTAGATTTTTCATTAAGCAAAAGGACTCTATTGCTATAAATGGTGCACTTAATGAAGTCTAAGCAGAAAGAGATGATTTGCAGATCAGTAATGTTGGTTCTTATTTATAAATAACTTACTTTTTTCATTAGGATTTATCCCTGAGTAGATGTGATTAGGGCTGCAGCCATTGCTGTTTTTGAAACAGCATAATATTATATAAATATATATTTCTCTCGTATTGAGGAGAACTTACTATTCAGTGCCTCTATTTCAAGTTTTATACTGCAGTCAAAATGGAAGAAATTTGATATTTGAACAAATACTTTTTACAAGGTTTGATTATGCCTCTTAACAAGAATTAATGCAATGTTTTTACCCATCAACATTATATATCAGATATGCTTCAGGTATTACAAATGTCAGGTTTTTATTCTAAACATTTCTAAACAACAAAAAAGAGAAAAAAAATGGGATTTTAAAAATGGAACTCTGGAGCAATTATTTGAAAAGCCTCATTATGATTTCTAGAAGTTTATTACAAAATTAATCTCAACAGAAATAATTCTGCAAAGTTCTCGGCAATAATTAAGCCAGGATTCAGATAGGAGTTAAAAACATGGCAATAATTTATACACATACACACATACGTAATTCAACTTTTTCAGGAGAAAAGAAATAGAATCACCATCCTATGTCTAGTCATCATAATGGTTTGCATGTTTACATATTTGTCAAGGCATAAACTATTAGTATCACATTTAATGATTTAACAAATGTAGGAAGAGAGTATTTCAGCAGTTCATTACATGAACAGCATTTTAAATGAATCCTTGCATTTAGAGGAGCTTCCTTGATGTAAAGAATTATGCCCAGGCAGAATGAAATGTTTATTACCTTCTCTTAGCATTGTTATGAACTGTGTTATTGTGGATAATACTGAGGGAAAAGCATTGGAAACAAGAAATGGAATTGGCAGATTTTTGCTGCATGTAGTTGATTCTACACAGTTTTCAGGATTGTTTTTAAAGCAGGGGTTTAATGGCTTCCTGGGTTTATAGAACACCAACAGGAAATGTTGATAACTATTTCTGATGCCTTCAAAAAAGAAATAGTGAGAGTAAATCTGTATAAATATTTGGACTGAACTCAATATGTAGATGCGAAATGTGGTAATGATTTAACTCTTAGGAGAGGCAGCCCTTTTGCACTAAATTAGCCTTCTCTAATATCCTGCAATCTTCAGCCAACCTAAGAAATGTTGACATCTTTTAAGCCAAATTATCTCTGTAGTTAATGCAGGCTGGCTGGAAACTGAAATTTTCAGATTTCTGTAAAAATCTCAAAGGATTAGCTTTTAAAAAGAATTTTACCGCATGCTGTCCAGCTTTGGGAAAGTAGGTGTGTGTGTGTGTGTGTGTGTGTGTGTGTGTGTGTGTGTAACATTTATTGTGCTTTTAATTAATATGTTCTCTTTTTCTACCCTAGTAATTGCTTAATATAGGTACTGACCTTATAGGCATACAGTTCAGATACTTGCTTAGGCAGTAGACAACCACAAAATAGACAGGCAAATCTACACTCCGGGGTTAGAAAAAAGGAAGTGAAGATTTTATTTCATGTCAAGAGAATCAAATTGGAGAATAGTTTGTCAAATACTTGCCTTTAACTTTCTAAATTTTTGCTTTAAAATAGACCTAAATAAAAATCTTGTATGACAAACATTGGTGGATTAGGGATTCTCATTACAATTAGTTACTTCTATTATTTCTTCAAGCATTTTCAAGTGTATAATTTTTTTTTTAGGAAAAAAAACAATTCTACAGTTTCTGATTACTTTAATCAGAACTGGCAAATCAGATCCATGAAAAACTCATATCTAATATTAATTTTATGTGACTAAGAATGTTGATACACAGCTGCAGTTACATTTACCAAATATTGTAAGAACAATTAAGAAATATATGGGATTTTACATATAATTCAGCGTTCAGGCCAATTTAGTCATATAAATGCCAGCAATGCATATTTTTATGTGACAGACATTTCATATTCAGTATGCAAAACAGAATCTTCTGATATAACTTAAACAGCTCATTTTCTGTGATTGAAATAAATCCCTTCGTTATTTAGATGAATGTGCAAGGTAATAATAATGATAAGGACATCCTTGGGAAGAACTTGTAAGGTGGATAAAAATGCCAAGTCCAGTCTGAAAATCTGGCTAACTGTGCAACGAACCATAATAATAATTCATCTATATTTTTTACTCAGATGTTCTTAATTCTAGGAAATGCTGGTTTGGGGTTGGATGAGTGTATATTAATATCAATTTATTATTTTTAATCCTTTTTTAAAGTTGGTTCTTTGACATACCAGCTAGTATCTAGGTAAGCAAGTTAGAAACGAAAAAATATATGAAAAGCCTGGTATTTTGTAATGATGCCATAAATATGCAGGACATCTTTGGCATAATACTCGTGGAACTGATGTACGCAACAGACATGAGTACTTGACTGTAGCAAACAGTCGTCTTCGCAGATTTAAGTTTCTTTAAAATTACATTAAACATTATTGCTAGCATAAAATTATGAACCATAACAAGAGACACTCATCAGTTTACTAACCGGCTCAAAAATATAAAAATTAGAGTCTCATGGCCATTTCCTCATCTATACTTGTTGTGTCTCTTTGATGGATTAAATATTGAAATTCTGTAATAAAGTAATAAACATACCTTTTAACAGTAGAGAAAAGATTAAACAAAATGAACACTTTGATCATTCAGGGAAACAGCAGTCCTATTTTAACATTTTCCTTGGGGGTTTTTGGGGCAGGGAGGTGAAAAATGATTGATATGTCTGTGTGTGTGTGTGTGTGTGCGCGCACATGTGCACAGGCACACACGCACACATTTCCCTCCTTCTGAAATACATATATATATTTGTTTTCGTAGATTTTCACAGGTACAGGTATGCAGGTCTTGGCGTGTTCAGGTCTTTTCCTGTGTAAGATTGAGACCCGAACATGCCAAGATCGATCTATCTATCTATCTATCTATCTATCTATCTATCTATACACACACACACACACACATACATATATGCAGGTGTTTGTTTGGCTTGTGGGATGGATATTTTTTTGTTTGTGAGTGCAGGCTTCCAGATAATTGACAGTCTGGTGGAGTCTTCTGTTCGTGCTTTCAGGTCATTTTTCAATCTCTATAGTTTCTCTGATAATTCTGTAGCTGGGGTTTTCTATAGTGGCTAGGGTTTTTGGTGCCATTGGAGTCGATGCTGTGACCTGTGGCTTTCATGTGTTGGACTAGTGAGGAAGTGTGTTCCAGCTTTTTTACTGCGTTTTTGTGTTCATCCAGGAGGGTACTTATTCTTCTATTGGTCTGTCCAATATATATGGCAGAGCCTGATGCGCAGGGGACTTCATATATACCTTGGTTTTCCAGGGCAATTTTATCTTTGGGATTTCTTAGGTTGGCTGCTATTTTTCTGTCTGTTTTGAAGGCAGTCTTGATGTGATGCCTGTGTAGTATCGACTGATTTTGTCTGTTGTACTTCTTATGTAGGGCAGGAGCCAGACTGTCAATTATCTGGAAGCCTGCACTCACAAACAAAACAATCTCCACACCACAAGCCAAACAAACACCTGGGCACAAACAGACCGCCCCCCCCCCCGATACCTCCAG